ACGATGTGCTTCGAGTCGCCTTAGACAAGGTGCCCTTGTGCTGTGTACACTCTGAACAACTGTGCCAGTTCACGACCATCAACCCACGGGAGCCCCTGCATTGCAGTATGGGACCGCTGACGTCCCAGGGGTTTCCAGAAGCTCACCTTCCAAAGCCATTTCCCCGTCTGTCTTATTCTGAGTGCACTGCTGACTGTGGAGGGTCAGGCAGCATGAGAGCCTCCACTACATCAGCCTGGGGTGGGGGTGGGGAGGGGGGCCTGTGCATGAGGTGCTGGGGTGCAGGGAACTATCCCAGGGCCCTTCTAGCTATGGGCTTGGAGCTCCCACAAAGTGACCAGCTGGCGCTACAAAGACAGACCAAAGAATGAGGATGCGAGAGCCTGCTGAGGCGAAGGAGGAGCAGGGACAGCTTGTGGGGTGGCTGTTCTTAAGTGTCACCGAGGTGGCTCCAACCCAGAGACCCATGCACAACAGAAGGAAGCCCTGCCCAGCCCTGCGCAGCCTCACCACGGTTGCTATGTCCAGGGACTGAGAGGAACCTCCTGACCATCAGGAAGAGCCAGAGTGGAGCAAATCCCATGGACCCAGAGTCTACACTGAGAACTTCCCAGACCCAGGAAGCCAGCACCAGACCTCCTGGCAAGAGTGGGGTGCTTCTGGACACCTGTCAGTGGAATGAGAGCCCAAGTAGTGGTCAAGGCCCAGAGATGAGCCCAGAGCAGGGACTGGTGGCAGAGGCCGGCCTGCAGACGTGTCAGTAGAGACTCTGCCCTGGTTGCAGACCCCTGTCCTGAATTCTTCCTGCTGGCTACTACTCCTGATCTCGTCAGCCCCCATGAACCCCGTCACCCTGAGAGTCTGTGAGGTCTGCGGGGTGACTGCAATCAATGACCAAGACCAGGGGGTGGAGTTGGTCTGAGCCCTGCCTCTCGCCACCACCTGGGGCTGACCCTGATTCCCCTGGTCCTCCCGACTCAGAGGACTCACCGGCAGTCTTTCCATGGGGCACCAGTCAGAACCGAACCCATGGCTCCTGCGTGCAGGCAAGAGTTCCACCACCGCTGTCACAATAAGCTCCACCTCGACAGTCTCCCTGCATGGACCACAGCTGCACGTGACTAAGAGCTCTGCAGAGCACGAGTACTAATGAGCAATCTCAGGGATTAGTCCACATGCATGGGGTGAGTGTGCACTCTGTTGTCAAAGATAAACACACAGAGAAAGGAGGTGCAACAGGTGGAGGGAAAGTGCAGGAAGAACGAGGGCCCTATATGACCAGGTCCTGCTGACCCAGCCTCAGACCAGACCCTGCTGACCCAGACCCAGACCAGGCCCTGCTGACCCGGCCCTAGTGCCCGAGCCGGGGCTGTTGTGTTCGAGCCCGGCCCGTGCTTGCTTAGCTCGACCCAGACCAGACCCTGCTGACCTAGACCCAGACCAGGCCCTGCTGACCTAGACCCAGACCAGGCCCTGCTGACCTAGACCCGGACCAGACCCTGCTGACCTAGACCCAGACCAGGCCCTGCTGACCTAGACCAAGACCAGGCCCTGCTGACCTAGACCAGACCCTGCTGACCCAGACCAAGACCAGACCCTGCTGACCTAGACCAAGACCAGACCCTGCTGACCCAGACCAAGATCAGGCCCTGCTGACCCAGACCAAGATCAGGCCCTGCTGACCCAGACCCAGACCCAGACCAG